TTTGGCAAAGATCAAATCCATTATAATTATATAAAAAGAAAAAGATATACTTAACACATTGTTAAATATTTTAATTTAAAAAATTGTAGCTACCATGAAATAATTTATGTTCAATGCTTACATAATTAGAAGATAACTGATAGCACCTAATAGTAATTACCTTTTAGATAGCGAGGAACATATTAACCCAATAACCTTTTGAATTTGAAACATTAAATTTAATATTTCAAGAATTGAAAGCTACCAGTATCCTGTTTAAGCTTGTTGAGTTGAACTTAAAAATTCTGGATCTACAAAAACCACTTTTGCTGTAAGGAATGCATGCATGCAATAAAGCAGACTTTGCAAAATTGAGCAATCCAATTCCTGCAAAAAATTAAGTAAATTAAGTAAATAGTTCTAAACGTATATTGATTATTTGTAATTTGGTGAGTTAATAATTAAAAAAGTAAGAATCAGAACAAAACAATGTTCACATAACACATAAATAATCTTCATCATAGCATTGATTTTCTTAACCAGAGTATCTTACATTTTGAAACTAATTTATTTAAAAGGAGATTTAGTGTAGGTAGTCCATTTTCATTATGCAATAAAGTGATTAACAATCTACTGACAGTAATTTGCTTTGTAATAATGAATATAAGATATTCCTCGACAAATTTTCAAACAGCATTAAATACTGAATGAAGACCCTTTTTCACTACTTTCCAAAACCCTATGTTTTACGATTTTACTCATTTTAAAAAAATCTTTGTGAATACAAACAACTATGTACACAAATCTATGAACACAAAACTGAAAATCACATTCATTTTTAAATGTTTGAACTATTGATAGCTTGATGTTACATTTTCTGCAAATTAGTGTAGTGTAGTGTTAATTTGTTTTTGTCTATAAATACCTATCTATAAGTCCAATGTCTTCACATTTTTTTTTTTAAATCAATTATAAATAAACTTTCCAGAGCTGATTTCCTAATTGCTTTAGTTGTTTTTACTTGGTGTTACTTTCCGAATCAACATACTTATTATAATATAATAATATATATATAAAATACTTAAATATATATATATATATATATATATATATATATATATATATATATATATATATATATAATATACCCATTATCAAATTTAACTTTGAAATAAATAAATAAATTTATCATGCTAATGTTTAAATAGTAAGAGCTTGCAACATGTAAAAAGAATAATAAAAATTAAACCTTTGTCTCAATGGTACGAGTATCACTGTCTTGGAAGTGAAGTTTTAGCCTTGTTTTTCCATCATCACTAGAACCCCTTAATTGTGAAAATTTATACTGCCATAATGTGACACCATCAGAATCACCCAATGAAAATCCATGATTCCAGTCCAAAGTCAAGCCACATGGCCGACCACAATGTGATACACCAAACGTTTTTTTCTATCATAAACAATTTATATATTACACAAATATACATAGTTTCTATTTAATAAAATACTATGTACGTGTGGAGATACATTACCCCTAATTTAATTACGCTTGTGACAATCGCTGCATGCCAAGCACTTTCTATCCTAAGAAGTTCTTGCCTGGTTTCCACACTCAAATACCTAGGTTCTAAGCCAGAACTGCGTAAGAGAAAACAATGCTGACGGGAGTCAACATTTTCAGAATCTTTGACAATACGAAACATTGTTTGGTAGACTTTAAATACCAAGGGGCACTTTGACAATCCAGCAACATTCAGCTAAAGTTTAAGAAATAAATTATTAAAATATAAAACTAAGAATAATAATGAACAAGTAACAAATCATTTTAGCTAATGTGTCTATTAATAAATAGGGTTGATATTAAAGCAATTTTGAAATTAAGTTAAATACATAAAATAATATTAGTGTAATAACTATGCAAACAGCATAAAATATTTTGATAAGAAAACAAACAAATTTACTAACTGGAGGTGAATCAAATAACATAACATCAGTTCCTTTTAATGTAAGAAATCTTGGCTTATAACTCTGCCATGGCTGATTGTTGTTCATAATTCCTTCATTAACCCAACCCATATATTCAATTCTCTCTCCTACTACAAAGTTGCGATTGTACAATTTCATCTACAAAAAAATAAGTAAAAGGTATACAACCTAATTATAATGGTTAAATTTTTATTAAATTCCAACTTACTTGTAAATGTGTTAACCCCACTATATTATCAGTAATATATTTTAACCATTGTGAGAGGATTGCTAGATCATCACAGTATATGACACCAGTAGTAGCTCCATTTAATCCACGAACTTCGAAAGCATTTGGTCTCAATTTATCAGTACCAAACATATATCTAGTCACATATGCCATCATTAAAGGAACTAAAATAAATAAATAGGATATGCATTAATACAATTCGTAAGTCACATTGCAATAAATAAAATTTTGTGGCAATAACATCATATATCTGTTATGCTTCAATACAAGGAAAGTAATACTTCAATATTTAATTTACCAGTAATGACATCAATCCATCTTTTTTCTGGCTCTGAAGTCATAGAAGTAGGTCGGCTTTCAGAAGCTGATTTCCACCCTTCATCAGCCTGTAGCTCTGCACAAGTTTCTGCATTATCAAGCTCAGGGCCTTCTTTGGACACTGAATAACAGATACATTAGTACTTATAGTCAAGTAAATTTTAATATAAAACTAATTATTAATAATAAAAACATGCTATTTCATTTAAATCACATTACAAAATATATAGTCAATATGTTCACAACCAAATTAAAATAATGGCAAACTCACACTGCTTTTGTAGAAAAGGCGTTGCTGCCCTATAATGTTTAACTGTCAGCACAACTAAATCTCCAGCATTCCTCAAAATATTTACTGCATCATCGTGGATACAGGCAGTAATATACTCTCCATTTACTTTAATAATTGCATCACCCACAAATAATTGTCCTGTTATATCCGCAGCTTGATCTTTATATATTCTAGATATTAGTATTGGAAGCTTATGTTCCGCACCTCCTTTAATACTCAGACCTAATCCGCCAACTTTCTGCCTTGTAATTTGCACCATTCGCTCCTAATTATGGTATTATGATAATGCAATAAGCAACAATGTAAATCAAATTTTATTAAATAATTATTAATTAAAATTAGTTATATACAAGAACTTACTCGAGTATGTGTAGGGCCAGCAGACTGATTGATAAATAATAGCTCTTCTTTTTGCAATGTGAGTACCTCCATGGACAACTGAATTCTAGCAGGCTGTGGTTCACTTTTACCATCACTCACAGTGACCATCCCAGAACGAACCTAAATTCAAATTAAAAATAAACAAAAATGCTCTAGAACATTATAAACTTGATTAATACTGCCTTAAGTTTCTGTTCCAAATCGATCTTTTCCTCTATAGGAGTAGTCATTTTCGTAGCGTTGATCTTCATTATTAACTCGACTAATTACTAAAACATTTCACCATCTAAAAATAATATTGAAATGCATATATAATCAAGCGATTAAATATTGATGAGAGCATTGCGCAAATTACGATAGAGAAATACTCCACCCTTAAAAAAACTTATTAAACAATAAATAATAAAATATCACAGCACGTACTTTATCTGCATATCACTGATTAATTAATTAATCTAAAAAATTCGAAACAATAGGTGTTTTGGGCATGTCAGATTGCTCTCGTAAGTTCACCATCTTTTATACATAACCAATGCAAGCGAAAAGACGCACGCAGCTCGACAATAACAAATGTATAAGAAAATGCCGACAGAAAATAAATCAACTGTGATGATTATTGAGCTTTCGTTATACTTTAACGAATATAAATATCATTTTTATTTATTAACTTTTGCGCGATTAGATAAACTAGTGGGGTGCATGGCATCGTGCCTTAACGCAAATTGCTGGAACTTCCCGTACCGTAATTAAAAATCTTGGTGTACACATTATTAAAATCTCTATAAAATATCTGATAATTTATTTGATGTACATATGTCCAATAAACATTTTTGACCGCCAAATGACATTTTTTTAACTTATTTTTATTGAGAGTCCATAACCGCTGGACCTGCCTACCCAAAAATTTAATAAATTTTTCATCTTATCAATACAATTGAAATGTTTTTTGAATTATTAAAATCGGACGCTCCGTTCTCTTAAAAACTGAATTACCGTTTTTGGCACTTTTTGCCCCGTATCTTCGGAACGGCCAGACCGGCCTTCGCCAAAAACTAATCAGCAGGTCTTCATATCAATACGAATCAAATGTTTTTTGAATTATTCAAATCGGTATTTCCGAAATCGTCGACGAAAATTTGTATACGCACACACACACACACATATACATCTATTTTTTTTAAGGTATGCCAAAATGTTCAGAAACCTCTAAAACGTAAAGATATGAAAAAAATATTTTCGATTACTATAACCTACCATATGGGAAGTTAATTATTATTATAATTAATGTATAATGAATGATTATTTTTAAAATAGAACATTTTTACGGTGATAAAACTGCTTCTGAATATGCTATAGGACTTATTATTATATATATTTATAACGGCGGTAATTAAATAAAATTATTTCAATTACAAAACATTATCAAAAATAATAAATAATATTTCGAAATACCATGAATTCATGTATGAGTTTGGAAATTTATTCATCATATATTAAACTAAATTATAATAAACAAATATGTTAAACATAATATCCCATTCATTAAAGACATACCACAGGACATTAATATATTAAATATGAAATTAGTAAACCAAGATGCATCTTGATGCATCATATTCATGAATATTATATACTGGGCGATTTAAAAAATTGTTGATGACATATAATTATTTATGCAATGCAAATACAATCAATGGAATTGCTTATATTATTAAGTATAGAAATATAACAAAAAATATTTTAATGTTTTATTTAATATATAACAATAAGTATTTCTATACAAACTAACATAATGAAATTGAATATATTTGGAGAATGGCTATATACTACACTTGAACATCTGAATTAAGCTTTTTACATGCCCTATGGTCGAAACTCAAAATATCTGGATGATCAAGAGCAAGGGCATTATAAGCATTGATTATGCGAACAAATTCCTCATTACTAATTTGAAATGGTCTTATCGTAGGATCCATATCAGCCAGTAGTAAAACTTGTTGTGTTAGTGTCTCTCGCTTTTCTTCTGGAAACAATGTCTCTAAGCCTCTGACAAAGTATTTTTGTCTCATATTAAATATGTTACGCAATACTTTTTCTACAACTTTAAAGGGTACATCAGTTTTCGGTGTTTTCCAAGGTGTGATATGAACAACACCAACATCTACTTGAGGTTTAGGCACAAAAGCGGATCCTGGTATAGTAAATTTGTGTTTGACATCACAGTATATTTGGCAAATTACAGATAATCTGCAACGTTGATTGGACATGATAGGAGCGACAATTCTCTCTGCTACTTCTTTTTGAAAAGTCAGAGTCATTGTAGCCCTACCATTTTGCCAAATACTTTCACGTCTAGATATAGCTTCCAGCCATTGGATTAAAAGAATTGTGGATATGCTGAAAGGCAAATTACCTATTATGTTAATCGGTGGTGAATGAGACATCCAATCACAAGATGGTACACCTGGAAAAGCTTCTGCTAATTGATATTTTAAGATATCATCTATTACAATATCCATTCGGCTTGAATTGTGACATGCCTCGGCTAAAAGTTGTAAGGTAGGCATAAAACGCTTATCTTTCTCAACAACTACAAGGTGCTGAGGACCTTTGCGTATTATGGATCTTGTAATACCTCCGGGACCAGGTCCAACTTCACAAACATAATGCCCTTCAATATTTCCAGCAGCCCTCACGATTTTATCTGTTAATCTTTCATCCATAAGAAAATTTTGAGACATCTGTTTCAGAGCTCTGAGTTTATAAAGTTTCACAAGGTCTCTTATCGTGGGTAAAGGAGGTAAACGTAACTTGCAAGCTAATTGTTGTGCTATCATTGTGGATTAATAATTAACTGGAATAAGAAATACTAAAACAATCAATCTGAAATTTTCGCTGGCTCATTGAAATCGTCTAAAAACTTTTCTTGTTTCACTGAGAGGATTGTATAAAAATAAATACCAAAAACACTTCCCGCTAATAATCCTCCTGTAATTAAATTAGATCTACGTAATTTTTTCAATTTTTCGACTCTAGCTATATTTTCCTTTTCAATAAATTTCATGAAATCTTGCTCAATTTGTGTCAGCTTACGATTTTCTCCTGTTATTGTCAATTTCTGGTTTCCTTTCTCTGCCATTTTATATATATTAAATAATCAAAGGGGTTGATTACCCTATTTTTCATTCAATTTCAAGATAATATATTATAACCATACTTTTGTTTTACAAGTTTATACAATCAATTGAGATTGGAGACCAACCTACTGATTTTATTATTCCTATCTTTGATGCTACGCCGTCATACAATGAAAATAGGAACTTATTCGGAATTCAATATATTAGTGTGGAGCTTAGATAAATCATTTCATTACTGTGTTGTTTTAACAAATTATGATGATTCATTCAGGTATTATAATGTATATATTAAAATAATATGGATTAGTATTGCTTTTCTAACTCATTAAAATTTTTTCAATGATGATCAGTACAAAATCAAATCATGGACTTTTCAATCATTGTGCCAGATGTCTCTAAGTATTTCCATGCTACAAATCTTTAAGGGGGTCTTCCTATGTGACGGCCTGTTTTTTAAGGATATTTTAGGATTTTTTTTCTACGACCAGTAAATATTTAGAGCTTCAAGTTTTTTATCATTTATTAACACATATTTGGACAGTATAAATATAAAATTTCAGCTAAAAATATTCAGTCAAACTAGAGTTACAGCGCTCTTAACACCCCCGCCTCGAAAAAAAGAGCTCCCACTTCCTCCACAATTCCGGCTGATCGGCTTATCTGACCAAAAAAAAATAAACGGCGTTTTAATTTGTAGGCTTAAAAGCACGGAATGACCTATAATCAAATGAATACAAAAAAAAAAATGGATTTTTGATAGACATTTAAAATAAAAGTTGCAAATTAGGCGCTTTTTTTTTGTTTTTTGCTATAAAGTTGCTATAAAGTATTTCCATGCTACAAATCTTTAACTGAAAAGTACTTACATATATAGAAATGTTGTATCAATATTATTTTTAATATTTGTGAAAATTAATAGAACCATAACTGCTATAAAGCTCAACTTGCAAGCATTATTAGACTTCTTGAACTAGAATTTCTTTGTTTTAGGATCCTTTGTATACGTTCTATATAAGTGTGTAGTAACAATATATTTGTATATTAACGACAGATTTTCATTCGAATAGAACAAACTTTTCAACTTAATGTAATTATCTAATTAACTTCCCGTAAGGTAAGTTATAGTCATTTATACTTGTTTACCTATGGTTATAGTAATCGCAAAAAATCGAAAATATTTTTAACTTCCCGTGGGGTAAGTTATAGTAATCGCAAAAAAAATCGAAGATGAAAATTTTTATATATCTTTACGTTTTAAAGGTTTCTGAATATTTTGACATACCTTAAAAAATGGATATATATGTGTGTGTGTGCTGAAAAGTTTTTGGCGAAGGCAGGTCTAGCCGTTTCGAAGATACGGAGCAAAAAGAGCAAAAAATGGCAGGTTCTTAGAAAACAACTACCAGCCGAATTGAATAATTCAAAAAACGTTCGATTCGTATTGATGTGGAACGTTTAATTACGGAACGGGAAGTTCAAGCAATTTGCCTTAAGGCACGATGCCATGCGCCCTACGAATTTTTATATATCTTTGCGTTTCAAGGCCTTCTAAACATTGTATTTGTGTGCGCGGATACAAATTTTTGTCGACAATTTCAAGAGCACAGATCAACCGATTTGTATTATTCAAAAAAACATCCGATTCGTATGGACGAGAAGAGGTGTTGATTAGTTTTTGGCAAAGGCAGGTCCAATTATTGAGAGAACGGAGCGTCAGGTTTAAATAATTCAAAATACATCTTGTATTGATGCGCTAAAAAATTGAATGAATTTTTAAGAATGCAGGTCCAGGGCTTCGAAGATCTATTAAAAAAAGTTAAAAATAAATGCCATTTGGCGGTCAAAAATGATCATTAGACATATATGTACATCAAATTATCAGATCTTTTATAGAAATTTTAGAAATAAGTACAAATTTTGTTTACGTACGAGTTTCGTACCAAGATTTATAATATTTGACCATCAGGCACGACGCGGCGCTTACGCGCTTCAATATTTTGTCTCTAGCAGCTACGTAGCGCAATCGCTTTGAAAAAAATAAAAATAAAAAATACATATATTTTCAAAACGTTCAAAAAGAAAAAAATTAAAGCTTTTAATACTTTTGCATTACAGTATTTTGTATGGTATTTAGTATATAATGAAATGGTATTGCTACTACTACTACTTATTTACTATTAGTATTACTACACCACTATTACTATTTTTTACACCTTCATTACTAGGTGGAAGACACGAACATTCCGTCTTAATGCAATGTCTTGTATAACCATCCCGATATATGTAAATAATTATTTACACATGTCGATTTTGACCATCTTAATCAATATGAATAGATATATAGCTATTTAGAATAAATTTTCAACTGTTTATTTGCAAATAAACTTAACTAGCAAATATATTAATTGTAATTGAATTAATTATAGAAAGCAAACGCGCGCTTGAATGAATGAATTTTAATGATTTTTTTTAAATTAGTCGTAGGCTCTCTTTAATCATGAAAAGTTTTATCAAACTCGTCAGAATTTTTTCAACAACTACTTGCAAAGAAACGGCCTGGACGATTTCCAAAAACTAATCACAGCGATTCTCAAAGAATATCTTTTGAACAGTTATTGAACTTTTAAAATCTGTTCAGAATTTTTGGCTAAAACATGAATGAGATCTTTGCTTTTATCAGCTAATTGACAAGAAGCGGTTCGGCCAATCGTCGCGATTAATAGAATTTCATCAAATTACTTTTGAATTTTTTAAATCCGTGTAACCGCTTTTGTTCACAAATTTTAGCTAAAAAAAATGGCATGCGGGCGCTGAGGATCCCAGGTTCGGCCCTACACATACACATACTTTTTCCAATTTTGGTTTTAACCGATTCAAAATAGATTAAGAAAACTTAAAAGCATTAGCATTAATATATCTTTCAGAATGCTAAAAGGTGTTTCAAGTTTTTCAAACAGGATAGAACGGGGCTTAAAGGTCCGAGAGTAAAAAAGTCCACTACCGATAAATTAAGAATCTCATAAGACACAAGTTAAGTTAAAGATTTTTCAATAACAATATTTGAAAGTAAATGGAAAAAGATGTGTAAGCAGCCATTACCTTTATTCTTACGACATTGCTATCAGGAGATAAACAATAATGTTTGAAATTCATAACAAACGTATTTTTTTCGTTGTTAGTTTTGTTGGTTGTATGCACTATTGTTTCGTTACGCTTAATATAATATTTAAGTATACGTTTTATAAGATGTATTGTTAATTTAGATTCAACAGTTTTTTATGTAACCTGAATAAAAGCTTACACGTGGGTGAGTAAAATTGAACAATTGAAAATTTACCCTGTCAAAGGTGTAACCAATGAACAATAGTTAGTTACGTTTAAAGCAGCAATTACAAGCGATATAATAAATAAACAGTTATTTCAACTCTGCTGAATATTTCTGGGTAAATATCAGATCAAGATTATATACATATTTTTTACAGTTATATCTGTAAAAAATGTACCCATGAAATTTATATTTTGCTTTGGTTGAATAACGTAGTTATTATTATGTAAAACTTCTTTTAAATAAAAAAATTGACATTGGACCTGTTTGCCCCCTGGCCCACCCATTTTACCCTGCCCGTGGGGTAAAGAAACAGGTGACCAAGTTTCAACAAACAGCAAAAAAACGCATTTCTTCAATGATGAATTAGCTGAGAGTTTTACTGAACTTAGTCAGCTAGTTGTTTGTTTGATATGTGTTGTTTGCTGTGATATAGTTGATTTGGTTTTCACAATATAATTGCTCAAAGTCAAATTGGACCTTTGTGGACCATTCTATTAACTACGAATTTATTTATAAAGATTTTAGATTTAATATAATTCATTTAATTGGTAAGGTTCTATAACGTTCTATTCGAATTGTCGAAAAATGATTAAGCTGGGGTTTAATTCTATAAGACCGACAAAGTGTGCAATGCTCAACGTGGGAATCGTACGTAGACCTTGTTTCACACACGTGTCAGGCACGAGGGCGAAAAAGACTCCTCGAGCGTTCACCGCAATTGCAATTGATGGGAGCGCGACAGAAATATGAAGCACACTATGAAGAAATAATCAAATTATGAAATTGAAAATGATGTATACATTTCAAAAGCCTTTTGGATGTTATTTTCTCTAACTTTATCTCAAAAAAAAACTATTAACTAATTCTAAAACCGAAATATTGAAAACGCATGCTTATGAAAATAGTTATCTTATTAAAAACATTACTACTATAAAATTTATTATATTTATTAACATCCCGTAGGCAAAGTTAAAGTAATCGTAAAAAATCGTAATTTTTTATATATCTTAACGTTTCAAAATTTTCTGAACCTTTTGGCATATTTTGGTTAAAAAAAATTAATGTATGTGTGTGCGCGTGTGTGTATGAGTATGTGCGCGTGTGTGGATACAATTTTTCGCCGACAATTTCGAGAAAAAGGATCAACCAATTTGATTTATTTGAAGAACATTCGATTCATATTGACGCGAAGACGTGCTGATTGGTTTTTGGAAAAGGCAGATACAGCCGTTTCGAAGATACAGGGCAGAAAGTGCCCAAAATGGTAGTTCAGTTTTTGAGAGAATGGAACGTCCGATTTGCATCATCCAAAAACATTTTAATTGTTTGATTTATTATTATTTATGAAGGCATAACATAATTATAAGCATATAATGAAATGAGAAAAGTGAGATTGATATGTA